TTTAGGGTTTTAGGGTTCGGGTTTAGGGTTAGGGTGTAGGGTGCAAATACGGGCTCATGAAACTTAATAAGTAGGTTTTAGGGCTCAGGGCTTGGAGTTTAGGGTGTAGGGCTTCAAGGCTCATGGGACTCAGTTACAAGTAGGGTTATAATTGGGGTTATACGTCCGCTAATCACGGTTGTCCTGGTTATAACTTTACTTATAACCTTGCTTACTTACTAAGCCCCACGATCCTTGAAGTAGGGTTGTTTTAGATGGCGTTTCAAGGTTCGTGTTGCTTTACTGGCCCGGATTTTAGGGTTGGGAGTATACTGGGGTTTAAAGTTTAGGGTTTAGGGTAAACCCTAAACCCTAAACCACAAACCCTAATTTTCCCAAATTTTGGAGTCATCATGCTCCTCCGAATCGCCCTAAACGGTTAAAGGTTTCGGGTAATCCTAAAACGTAAACCCTAAACCAACCCGTTTAGGGTTTAGGGTTTAGGGTCTAGTAAAGCCTAAACCCTAAACCCTAAACCCTAAACCCTAAACCCTAAACCCTAAACCCTAAACCCTAAACCCTAAGCCCTAAACCCTAAACCCTAAACCCCTGGTCGAAGCAGGTGCCTCTGAGGGAGCCCGAAAGTGTCAGGTGGAAACCCTCCGAAGCCCCCCCCCGGTGAACTGCGAACGGAGCACAAGGGTTTAGGGTTTAGGGTTTAGGGTTTAGGGTTTAGGGTTTAGGTTTTAGGGCCGTAGAGTACGGTTTAGGGTTTAGGGTAGACGGGTAGACGGGTAGACCCTTTAAATCTCAAAATCCTCCCCGAACCCTATAACACCCAACGTTTTCAGGTTCGTCATTCTGACTTTCTTATTTGATTCAGCTGGGATGTTTTTAAGCCCTGAACCCTCCGTTGGAACCTTTATAAACCCTAAACCCTAACCCACAGAAAGATTTCTCTGGGTCCTTGTTGGATACAATTTTACATTTCGTTTTAATGAAACCCAATAAGGATTAAAAGCGGATCATGTTTCATATAGCCCCAACAGGGCCTAAAACCCTAAACCCTATAAACCCTAAGCCCTATAACCCCTAAGCCCTA